AAGGAAGGAAGGAAGGAAGGAAGGAAGGGAGGGAGAGAGGAAGGGAGGGAAGGAGAAAGGGAGGGAGGAAGGGAGGGAAGGAGAAAGGGAGGGAGGAAGGGAGGGAGGGAGGGGGAGGGAGGGAGGCAGGGAGGAAGGAGAGAGGGAGGTAGGCAGGCCTAGCTAAGAGCTTGGGGGCTAGCACCAGGGCCTCCTCTCTAAGGTTCTGGAGAGTCATGGGCTGACCTCTTGGCCCTTCAGCAGCCAGAAGTCTTAAAGAACTTGCACCCACATCTCTGTCCTGTGTTCTCCCTTCTCCATCTGTCCCACTGACTACTTCCCAGAGCCATCTCCTTCTGTCCATTTCCACTGCTCTGTCCAGTCCCGCCAGCTCTGCCTGAGTCTTGGTCCCCCAGTCCAGGCTCCAAGCTGCACGCACCCCTCTCCCACCTGCTGTGGCTTCCCTGAGGGCAGAGCCCAGGCCCCTGGCTATGACCTTGAGGTCCTCCTTTCAAGACATTTCCCCTCCCAGAGAGATCGGACCACGTCACTCACAGTTCCTTAAAGAATCTGTGGCCTGACTCTGGCCATGAACGACATTTTCCACTTCTGTACCAAAGAAACTCCTACTCATGTGTCAAGACCCATTTCAAATGTCACTTGTTTGGGCTTCATACTGTTGTGATCAGTGGCCTGGAATGTGGCCCAAAGGACACTGTGTCAAGACTTTTTGTGAGTAATATGTGGTCAGTACTAGGTTTGAACTTGAGGGCTAGGTGCTGTCCCTTAATCACTCAAAGTTGAGGCTCTACCACTTGAGCCATGGCTCCACTTCCAGCTTAATTAGAGATAAGAGTCTCACAGACTTTCCTTCCCGGTCTGGCTTTGAACTGCAATCCTCTGATCTCAGCTTGCTAAGTAGCTAGGAAGACAGGCTTGAGCCACCAGTACTTGGCTGGGGTAGATATATACATGAAGACAGTCAGTTTTGCCAGCTGCAGAGTTCTGGAGGAGATGGCAACAATGGTCACACTACCATGTGATCTCTCACTCAATGCCACTGCATTGCTCAGTGACAATGGTAAATGTACGCTTATGCATATTTTACCAATAAAGAAAGTGTTTCCTCAAATTGAATCAAGCCTCTAGAACTAATGTCCAGGGTTTTTGTTTTTGTTTCTTTTTTCAATTCTGAACAGCATGATGGTATTTGTTCACACTTCCTCCTCCCCTTTCTGTAACCCTCCTTTGCCCCCTAATGTCCAGGTTTTTCTTAAAAAAAAACAAAAACAAAAAACACAACTACCCCTATCACCACAGGATTGCATACAGTGGTGCACCTATATAATCCCAGCAACTGAGGAGGCTGAGGCAGGAAGATCACAACGTTAGAGGCCTGCTTAGGCTACACACTGATCCCGTCTCAAAACGTAATGGAATAACAGCAAATATAAGCCACGATTAAAACCTGGGGTTAAAAAGAAGAAAAAAAAACTGCTTTGAGCCAAGAGTCTTGCTATGTTGTTCAGGCTGGTTTGAAAGTTCTGGGTTCAGGTCATTGTTTAGTCAGCCCAGGAACGTCTTTTCATTGTGACTTCATTGTGGAAGTCACCCTAAGTGGGATGTCCTCAGAGTGAGCAGTAGCCTTGACCTGAGGTTCTTGCGCCAGCCTTGGGGTTTTCTCAGAACTCCTCCAGGGCTGAGGCCCCTCCATGCTGGATCCCCAGGAAGTTTCCCCTTGGACAGCACCCTCTACCGCTTGAGCCACACAGCTCCACTTCCATCTTTTTGGTGGTTAATTGGAGACAAGGGTCTCATGGATTTTCCCGCTTGGGCTGGCTTTGAACCTTGACCCTCAGGAAACTTTCTTTCTTCTTTTGTCGGTTGTGAGGCTTGAACTCTGGACCTGGACGCTGTCCCTCAGCTCTTCAGCTCAAGGCTAGCTCTCTACCACTTGAGCCATTGTGCCACTTCAGGTTTTTGGAGTGGTTTATTGGAGATAAGAGTCTCACAGACTTTCCTGCCCGGGCTGGCTTTGAACCGTGATCCTCAGATCTCAGCTTCCTGAGTAGCTAGGATTACAGGCATGAGCCACCGGCACCCAGCTGCCATTTATTTTCTTGATGACAGCCATTCAGCCTTCAGTCAGCTGCTTTGCGCCTAGCTTCATTCACCTAGACTGGGTGTTGATCGCAGCCCCCATCAGTCCTCCTGGACCATCCTCACTCCCCATCGGCCGTGAGGTCTGTGTTGTATGAATAGACCATCACCTACATGGCCAAACCCTATTGGACATTTGGGGTTTTCCAGTCTCTTGCACTTACATTTTTAAAACCCCCAAATAACACTTTTTGAGTAAACTTACGAGGAAAGAGAAGGGGGAGGTGGTGGATCCATTCCTAGAAGTAAGGCAGCTGAGCTTTTGATACCCCAGAGAAAATCCCTGCCCGGAGCAGCTGCTGCGCTTCCTCTTTTCAGCAGAGCAAGGGACGGGTGCAGATGAGGGATCCCCTTGGGGCAATCACCTAGCTGGTCCCAGGAGCCAAGAGGAAGGGACATGAGTTGGCAAGTCTGAGGCCCTTGGGAGCAAACCTTGGGAGGAACCAAAGGCGATGAGGCTGAGTCAATTAGTATATAGGCTGGAGGGGGGGGGGAGCCTCTAGGATGACCAGAGAGGCTGGAGGACAGGGGGGTGGGGAGAAAGGAAGGTCATAGTAGCAGCTACCACCACACTAATGATAATAATTAGTAATAATAGCAAAGATAATTTGCTCTAGTTTAGATCTGCAATATTCTACAAATGCCCCTGTGTTGAGCCAGGGGCTGGTGGCTCATGCCTGTAATCCTAGCTACTAGGAGGCTGAGATCTGAGGATCTCAGCTCTAAGCCAGATGAGGCAGGAAAGTCCAGAAGACTGTTATCTCCAATGAACCACCAGAAAATTGGTAGTGGAGTGGTGGCTCAAAGTGGTAGAGTGCTAGCCTTGAGCAAAGAGCTCAGGGACAGCATCTAGGCCCTGGATTTAAGCACCACAACCAAGACCTCTTCCAAGGGATTGTCTCCACATGCTTGTCAGAAATCGATTGCACTTGTTTCTGCACTTCTGAACCTCAGTTCCAATGCACTGATTTACTGAATTGATTTATTTGTCTATACTTTTGCCAGTGGTATACTGTGTTTGTGTGTGTGTGTATACTGTGTTTGTGTGTGTGTGTGTGTGTGTACTATGTGTGTGTGTGAGTGAGAGAGAGAGAGAGAGAACTAAGACTTGAACTCAGGGACTCATATTCACAGCTGGTGCTCAACTGCTTCAGCCAAATGGCTTTTTCTTTTTTTTCTTTTTTTTTTGGGGGGTCCGGTCGTAGGGCCTGAACTCTGGGCCTGGGCACTGTCCCTCAGCTCTTCAGCTCAAGGCTAATGCTCTACCACTTGAACCCCAGCGCCACTTCCAGCTTTTTTCGTTTTGCTTATGTGGTGCTGAGGAATCGAACCCAGGGCCTCAGGCATGCAAGGCAAGCGCTTTACCACTGAGCCACCTTCCTAGCCCCCAAATGGCTTTTTCTTTTGCTGGTTAATTTGAGAGAGTCTTAAAGACTTTGTCCTCCTGGTCTGACTTCAAACCTTGATCATCAAATCTCAGCTTCCTGAGTAACTAAGATGACAGATGTGAGCCACCAGCTCCTGGTTGTACTGTCTTAAATTCTCTAGTTTATAGTAATTCCTTCGCTCTGAGTTTTTCTTTTCTTTTCTTTTTTTCTTCAGGGTTAGCACTCTACCAGTTGAGCCACAGCTTCAATTCCATCTTTCTGCTGCTTAATTGGAATTAAGACTCTGGCTTTGAATCATGATCCTCAGATCTCAGCCTCCTGAGTAGCTAGGATTACAGGTGTGAACCACTGATGGCTGGCTACTTTGCTTTTCTCTCCTTCCTTCCTCCCTTTCATTTGTTTGTTTTGTTTTGTTTCTTTTTTTTTTTTTTTTTTGGATCTGATCGTGGGGCCTGAACTCTGGGCCTGGGCGCTGTCCCTCAGCTCTTCCCCTCAGGGCTAGTGCTCTACCACTTGAGTCACAGCGCTACTTCCGGCTTTTTCTGCTTATGTGGTGCTGAGGAATTGAACCCAGGGCCTCAGGCATGCAAGGCAAGCGCTCTACCACTGAGCCACCTTCCCAGCCCCCTGTTCAGCTTTTTAAGTGCTAGGATTATAGATATGAGTCACCACACACA